TAATATATAACCAAATAGAAACTGTGGAGATGAAAGATGCAGTAGCTGAAAGGACAGTTTTATAGAGGGGATCACTGGCAGGTTTGAGCTTGGAAGAGGAAGAACCAGCAAATCTGAAGATGAATCCAGTGGGATTATCCAATCCCGGGCCCAAAAAGAAAAAGGGATGGAAAAAAATTAAAGAGGCTAAGAAGTCCATGGGACACCACCAAGTACCCCAGTATGTACATGACAGGAGTTCCAGAAAGAGGAGAGGAAAAGGCAAACATTTTCTTGAAGAAACAATGATAAAAATATTTCATATTATGAGAAAGACAAATTTTCATATCCAGTATGTCAATGAATATCAAACAGAAGAAATTCAGAGATCCATTAGAAACAAATTATACTTAAATAACTAGAGTCAAAGAAAAAGGAAAATTCCTAAGAGCAGTAAAAAAGAAGAGACTAATCGAGTAAAAAAAATCTAATCAAATCAACAGCTGATTTCTCATCAGAAACCATGGCAGCCAGAAAGCAGCAGGATGACATATTCAAAGTGCTGAAAGAAAAAACCTGTCAGCCAAGAGTTAGATACTTGTCAAAACTATATTTCAGAAATGAAAGGGAAATTAAGACACTTCCAGGTAAATGAAAACAGTTCACCATTTGTAAGCCTAACAAGAAATTCTAAAGAAGTCTTTCAGGCTGGAATTAAAAGGACATTGCACATTACCACAAATCCACAAGCAGAAGAAATAAAAATCAGCACAGATAACCATGCTTATTTATAAGTGAAAATCAGTATTAATGTAGTTTTGGTTTCTATTTTCTTCTTTTTTCCCTATATGATTGAAAGATAACTGCTTAAAGCAATAATCATAAATCTAACTTATTGATACAAAATATATAAAGATGCAAAAAGGAGACAGAGCTACATGGGGGAGATTTTGGGAGGCTATAAAAACTAAATTAGTATTAATTTAAACTAGATTGTTATAAATTTAGATGTGAATGATAATCCCAGCAACCACTTAGCAAAAAAAATAATAATAATAATCTAAGAAATACATGGTTAAAGAAACAAAAGGAGAATCAAAATGGTAGACTAGGAAACATTTCTAACACAAAAGAAGACAGTGTTAGAGGGACCAATGAAGAAAAAAGATGTGACATATAGAAAACAAATAGCAAAAGAAATAGTGTTTTGTCAGTAATTGTAAGTACATGAACTAAACCCTCAAAAGGCAGGATGAATGGATTTTTAAAACATAACCCAACTATGCTGTCCACAAAAGACTGACTTTAGGAGCACAGATACAAATAGGTTGGAGGATAAATAATGGGAAAAGATATTCCATTTAAACAAAAGCCAAGAGAATTCATGTGGCTATGTTGCTGTCAGACAAAATAGACTTTGAGATAAAAGTGGATCCATCAGAAGTTACACCGATTATGAACCTATCTGACCCTTACAAAAGAACCCAAAATATGTGAAGCAGAAACTGAAAGAATTGAGTTACTAGTGGTGAAAGATTAAATTATTTCCCTCTAAAGTCAGGAATGAGTTAAAGAAAGATAGTTTCTCTTACAACACATGTGTTCTAGCCAGGACAAATAGACAAGAAAAAGAACTGAAAAGGAATCCAAACTGGAAAGAAAGAAGTAAAACTTCTATATTCACAGATGACAATCTTATAGGTAGAAAACTCTAAATATTCCACAAAAGGACGATTAAAACTAATAAATAAATTCAACAAAGTTTCAGAATATAAGAACAATACACAAAAATCAATTGCTTTCTATAGCCTAACAATGAAAATGAAATTCAAGGAAGCAACTCCATTTTGAAGGGATCAAAAAGATTAAAATACTTGGGAATAAATATATCCAAGGAGGTACAGTTATTGTACACTGAAAACTATAAAATACTGTTGACAAAAATTAATGGGGACACATCCTGTGATCATGAATTGGAGACTTAATATCAAAATACCAACTTACTTTATTGTAAAAGTGAGCAAACTGACCCTAAAAGACATACAGAATTTCAAGGAATTCCGAATAAACCAAATAATCTTGAAAAAGAACAAACTTGGAGGACTCATGCTCCCTGACTTCAAAACTCCCTCCATACAAAGAGAGCTGAAGAAACGTGGGCTGTACAGTGTCCTGGAAGCAGGGAATAACTTTGTTCTGTTTGTCTTGGGGGTGTTGAATCAGGGTCAATGCATGTAAATCACCACGTGAGAGATCTTGGCTCAATATGAAAGGTTTTTTGAAAAGCAGAAGTGAGCCCTCCCTGGTGGCGACAGGTTCAAGCACAGTACTATGAAGCTAGCTGCAGCTGCTTCAGCTCGAGAATTCAGCTCAAGAATCCCCAGCCAGGGAATGACCCACATGGTGCGGCAGACCTCGCCTGTCTCTCCAGCTGCTCCCCTCAGCAGTGTACTTTGTCATTCTGTCTGTTCTGCTCCGCACACTATCTCTGATGAATCCTCTCACCCCTCACCCTCACAACTCTGGCCTATACCCCAGTTCTTGTATGCATAAATAAATAAAAAAAAAAAAGCAGAAGTGGTCCCTTCTCAGGCTGCCTTGAGAAGTGATGTGCAAGTGACTTCCTCCTTCAGAGGAGGAAGAAGGAAGTTAGTTTGGCCTAGTCTCTTATCTCTGGGCTGCCCTCCCCCCCACACCCTCCTCCCAACCCCCACACCCCCAACCCTCGCCCCCCCACCCCGGATCTATGAATCCTGGACTAGACAGTGAGGCTGGAGGGAAGGTGAGGACAGCCTGTGCTCACCCTGCCTGCCTGTCTGTCACGGGCTCTCCCCCTTCTCTGCAGCTGGCGGTGGTCCTGTCTATTTCTATGAGTTTCAGCACCGACCCGAGTGTTTCCAGAACTCAAAGCCAGCTTTCGTCAAAGCTGATCACACTGACGAAATCCGATTCGTCTTCGGAGGTGCCTTCCTGAAGGGTGACATTGTCATGTTTGGTAAGGCTCCTGCTCTTGCAAGTACATGGGCTTGGGGTGTGCTGGGCGAAGACACAGGGATTTGTTAGCACGAAGCCCCTCAGCCACCCCAATACTGTGGCTGGTGGGCTGGCATTTACTGTACAGGCTAAAGACACAATTTTGTCCAAAGAAGTGCCCTGATCTTATTTTCAGAAGCCAAGATGAAAAGGGGCAGTCAGCAGCTGTCTGATGAGTGTTTGTCATAGTCTGTTGGGTGGGTGCTGGGGGGGGGGTGCTTAGGCAATCTCATTTGTTTGCAAATTAACCCACTTTCTTCTTTTCTCTGCTTGCTGTTCTCCCTATCTTCCTGGAATGGGCTATCCCCTAGGTTTTTAAAAGACAACAACCAGGTTTTTCAGAATCCAGCCCAAAGTAGAGTGGATGCAGGTGATCTCATGTAAATGATGGTGAACTGTTACTGTGGTGTTCAGTCATGTATTCTTGAATTTATGACATGTTCACCGTCTAAATAATAAACCAATCTGATGAGGTTATCAATAGAAAAAGCAACAGCAACCGTACACAGAAACTATCACAGAACGCTTAGTGAAAACTTGCACAGGCTCTTAACTAGTCGATGGTCTCAACTAGTCTTAACTGGCCTCAGTGCTGAGGCCAGTCACTCAGAGATGTGCCATGCACTGTGGTTTAGTCATTTTCTTCATTTATTCATTCTCATCTGATAACACAGATAATAACAGAACTACCTCATAGGTTTTCATAGGATTAAATGAAGCAACTTCCACAAGCCACATAGAAAGTGCTCAATAAATGTTACTATATAATGAATGTTACTGCTCAACGGCCAGTAGTGAAACTTGACTCTATGATGGGCACATAGATTCCCCAAAAAACAGAAAAAAAAGTAAATGAACATCAGTCTCAGAAGGTTAAATCCCGAGAGCTAAAGCGCTCCTGAAACCAATGAGAAAAGAACATTCCAGTTAAAACCTGGGTAATGCACATAAGTAGACAGTATTGCAAAGGAGACAGCTGATTTCGAAACATGAAAACCCATTCAGCTTCGCTCATGACATGAGGCAAACTAACCTTGATGGAGGAATCCATTTTCATCCGTCAAGGGTGGGAAGGACAACACATTTTACATAATGTCATTGAACAGGTGTGAGGGAACCAACCAGCTCATATATTAATGAAAAACTGTCAGCATTTATCACACCTATAGCCTGTACCCTGGCAATTCAATGTCTAGGGTTTTTAGGGTACAACTATGCATCCACATGTACAAAGATACATGTGCACTTAAAAAGAAATACACGTGGGCCTCCCTGGTGGTGTAGCGGGTTAAAGCACAGCACTGTGAAGCTCTCTGCAGCCCCTGCAGCACGAGTTCCATCCCCACCCCGGAGGTGACCACATGGCGGGCAGACCTCTCCTGGCCCGCCCGCTACTCCCCTCAGCAGTGTACTTCGTCACTTGACCTGTTCTGCTCCCCACTCTGTCTCTGGTGAAGCCTCTTGCCGCCCCTGCCCCTCTGGCCTGTACCCCAGTTCTATGTGCATGAATAAATAAATCTTCAAAAAAAAATACACATGCACATGAAAGCGTTGCTTTTACCAGCAGAACGTTGGACACAAAGTAAAGATCAACAAAGCACTAGCTATATAAATTACATACCTATACATAATTGGCTATAACATTTATTATATCTTTATAAGTCACAATAAAAAGGAGTTCTACAGGTGCCACTATGGATCTCTGTCCCGGGTAGAATTCTAGTAAAAAGAGAGACACAGTAGGTTTCCGTTGTCATACTGAGTGTGGGAAAGGTGTCCGATTAAGCCCTTGCACTTGTTTTGGCTGTCTAGAGAGGGAGCTCAAGAAGCTTTTAGCAGTGAAGCTTGGTAACAAGGACGTGGAAGGGAAACTAATGTTCATTAGACATATTTTCTGCATTTTGGATTTTGCACTTTGAGCAAGTGCTACTTTTTCAAATAAAGAAATATGTTGAGGCCCTCCCTGATGGCATGGAGGTTATGTTTCAGCACCATTACCACGAAGGTGAGGACCCGAGTTCGATCCCTGGCCAGGGAGGGGCCCACAGGGCACAGCAGACCTCTCCTGTCTGCTCCCCTTGGCAGTGGATTTCAGCAGATCTGCCTGTTCTGCTCCCCACTCTGTCTTTGGGGAATCCTCTGTTCCCCAACACCTCTGGCCTACACCCCAGTTCTTCTACACAAAAATAAATACAATCCTTAAATAAAAGAAGGAAAGAACTATGCTAAGTAGTTTGTGTGTGAGAGAGAGAAAAGAGGATGAGATTAACTCTGCCCCTCGGAGCTTGCAGCCTCCTGCGAGGGGCTGAAGCGGGTTGGATGGACAGAAACAATTGTGCTCAGCCTCCTCCTTTCGGGGGCCATGATTCCTTGGGCAGTCGCCCTGAGCCTTAGGATCTGAGCCACCACACCCAAAATGTGCACAGTAACTTCGCTGGCTGGCTAGGATCCTAGGAGGGGAGGTGTGGAAGTGAGTCATCCAGTGGGAGGCCCCTTGAACTTCCAGGGAAGCGCTGTGAAACAGCTCCTGTCATTTTCTCCTTCAGAAGGAGCCACCAAGGAGGAGAAGCTGCTGAGCAGGGCCATGATGAGCTACTGGGCTAACTTTGCGCGGACAGGGTAAGAAAACCTCCCAGCCTCCCCTGCACTGGGTGTTTGAGGATGAAAACCGCACCTGTTTCTGTTCTCACTTGCAGGGACCCTAACGGGAAAGGCCTACCTGGGTGGCCCAGCTACAACGACAGAGAACAGTACTTGCAGCTGAACTTGAACATGAGCGTGGGAGAGAGACTCCGAGAGTCCAAGGTTCGGTTCTGGACAGACACCCTCCCCCTGATCATGTCCACCTCTGGAGCCGTCCTCCGCTCTCTTCCATCCTTAATTTTCCCTTCCCTGCTCCTGCCTTTCTCT